TTAAATCCTCCCAGCTAGTTTCCCAGACTTGGATTAAACCTAAGACTAACACTAAAAGAAAGGTTTGAACATTGCAGTTGCTTTTATTCTAGGGCTAGGCTTATGGCATGTCTGGTAAACTAAGCCTTGGGTGACAAAAATTGTATATGCAGGATAAGTTTATTTATTGTTAATAAGTTTACACGCCACATTTGTTTGTGGCATGTGGCTTGTTTGTTTGTTGTTTGATGGTTACTTTTAAAGGGTCTCTGCCTTGTTGTGTGGAACCAGTAAATGGTATTTGTATAGTGCTTTACTAGTCCCTAAGGACCCCAAAGCGCTTTACACATTCAGTCATCCACCCATTCACACACACATTCACAGTGTCTCGCCCAAGGACACAATGACCTTCCGATTACAAGGCGAACTCCCAACTCCTGAGCCACGATCACCCCAGTGTCATTAACTGAAGTAGCTAAAGCCTGTCTGAAATGTAACTACACGTTACATTGCGCGAGTTCTAGTCAAGTCTGACGCACTTAGCCATTTCTGGTCCAAATGCCTCTTCAGATCATATTTAGATAAATACTTGCACAACACTGGCAGTTAAATGGGTGTAAATTCCTTCAACTACGATCGAGTGATTAGTTACAGGTGTTAACATACCATCTAGGTAACAATGAGAAACAGATTTACTAGCAGTTAGTTTCTAAGTTTAACAATAAACGAAATTCCAAAAACCAAAACCCAAGTGGTTTATGGGACTATTTTTGTCTTTCTTAAGACACACACGCGTACAAACAGACAAAAGCCTGTGTGGTGCTGTGAGATTAGATCCTCCTGTACCAACACATGCAGAGCCAAAGATGGCTGCAGGTGTCTGTCAGAAAGCCTGTGTAGAGTTCCTTCAAAACAAAAATGAAAATGAGGTCCAGCCAGGTAAAGTTAACACAACACAGGTCTGTGACAACTCTGCGCAGCTATTTCAGGTATTTGAGATGAGATGCGATCTTTGAAGAGTTGGTGAAGAGTTCAGTGGAAATCAAAGTGGTTTTGCCTGAAGTCCTACATTCCTATTGACTACAGCTAATATCAACAAGACAACAATGGCAATGTCTGTTGCAAGTTTTATGGTTTTGGTTAAATGGTTTCAATAAAAATACACTCTGAAGGTCAGTGACGTACAGCCCTATAAATGCTGACGAGCAGATTAGCCAATGTATACCTGTGGTGTATCAGAGATAACACTATCCACACACTCAAGTCAGTGACTAATATGATGTTGCATGGTTAGAGTAATTTGTTGCAGAAAAGTAGCGTTACTAGGGAGAGTCACTGATCGATAAGTGACTCTAGTTGTATGGTTTGATCTGCCATGACAGGAGACGGCCGATTAGCCTCTAAATCATATTCTTATTAGACTGAGCTACGGCCGACACGTGCCTCTCGGAAGCGTGGTTGTTAGAAAGTGTAAATACCTGAATTCAAAATGAATTCAATTTTATTTATATAGCGCCAAATCACAACAACAGTCGCCTCAAGGCG